CTCCGGTCTTTGGGACGGGCTACTCTATTTTCCATCTTTTGCTACTTTCCTTAGAGATGCGAGTACATGGAGAGAAAAGCACCAGTGCTATATTACATGTATTTCCCCATGGCCTGTTCCCAACAATTCTCCCATATACCAAGAAAGGGATTCTCATACTTCAAGGGAAGCTGGTGTTAAGCACTTTCTTGGACAGAAGCTCTGAGTACAGAGAACAAACTAAGTCTGGGGACTACTTACTACCTGTGACAGCTTTCTCAATTTTACCCCATACAAAGAGGAGTTTTTAGGAGGATTAAGCATAGCAGACCAAAAAGAAGTGCTACATAAACCTTTTTCTCCTTATAAATCTTTGAAATTTGTCATTAAGAGCCATAAAACAGTTTTCAAGGTTCTGCTTTTATCCTAGTCTCTACAGGCATAAAGGTACAGAAAGGCCATTCTTCTCAAATAGACTATGAACATCAAATTATCAACTTAATAAGAAAAACATGCAAATGAAGGTACTGGGCCCTTGCATAACAGTGTAGCAGCAGGACAAAATCAGTGCATTTCTAAAGCCCTTCTGAAGCTCTTTAGGTAACAGCATTTTCTTCCCTCAATCTATACTAACACGCAAGATTCATGTGATTCTACTTCTGTTACGGAGAAGAGTGGTGGTACAGTACAGAAGAGCTACTGATGTTAACATCGGTACGCAAACAGAAACACAAGTCGAACTCACGAATGTCAGTCTTTGAGATGGAACAGATAAGAATGGCTTACTAAAGCAACGCAAGATGTTGGACAACCAAATTTAAGGATGTTCAGAAAAGCGTGTCAAGGCAGGAGAAGCATATATTTTGAGTATTGAAAATGCTATGCTGAACAGGTAAATTGGTGAAGCAGTATTAATTTCTGGGAACAGATGAATCTGCTCCAGTCACTCTATTTCACTCCAAATAAAGAATTCGATGGTGGAGGTGTCCTTTTTTAGGAAATATTTTTCAAAAATTATTCTCCTAAAATGGAGGAGAGACAGGACAAGCACAGAGGAGCCTTTTAAATGCAGAGAAGTAAATTTGGTCACAAAATACTAGGAAGGGAAGTTCTCTGGAAGGAGAGAGAGGTGAAGTGATTTTGCCTCAGTTTACTAGAATAGAAATATTCTTTTATTACTACAAGGCTCAGCAGTGAGGCCATTTTCAAATAACCAAGGGCAACACACACAAAAAGAGAAAAAAAATACCAGTTCTTAGATTTTGTTTGGAGTTTTTTGTTTTTGTTGTTGTTTTTTTTTTAGCAAAGAAACAACATTTACAAAGTCAGCAAAGCACCAACCACAAGACATGTAGTATTTAGCTTTCAGGCTAGTTAAGAATTAGGGGAAAAAGCCATATTACTATTTTGATGAACACTGAATGGTTACTACAAAGTTTTATTTCTGATGGTAAAACATAACAGCAGATGTAGAATTCCATAACAGAAGGCAAAAAAAAAAAGAACTGTTTTGAATGCTTCTTGTAAGGATCAGTAATATAAAAACTGTTTTTGTAGTAACCTGAAGCACATTAGGCAGATTACATGCTGCAGCTCCTTTACAGAGGTTACTGATTTCTCAGGAGTTCTATTTAAGATTAATTTCTATTCATTTTGATGCATTACTGTGTACATTCTGACTGTGTGTATATATATTGCACAGTTCAAGTAATTTTAATGTTTCAATATTAGTACACAAAAACACAATCTCTTGAATTTATTCCAAGTATATTGTGTTTTTTAAACTTTACCCCCAAGATCTGTTGCCACTGATGGAAACAGGTTACATTTGCAGAAGGGTTGTGCTAACAATCTTGCTTTCTATGAAGAACAAAACTGCAAAAACAATTCTAGATTTAGATAACAAAAAAATATTCTGCACTTTAAATAGGTAAAAACAAGAACACTGCAAAATGCCAGACAAAATAAATAAATAACCTTAGTTTGTTAATTTCCCTCTTGGTTAATTAACACCTATAAATGACCTTTAGCATTGACAAGTCCAACTTCATCCAGAAAGCCAAGGTTTAAGAGTATCTATCCAAACAGGATTGATTACTGATTACAGCATTGTGAGGAGCACAATTCAATCTGATTTTTTTTCCTTTTTTGGGGGCTGGAAGTGCATTCCTGAGTAAACTGATGTGACTGCCAATGAGGTAAAACGCAGACAGTCACTACATGATAATAATGTTGATGTTACCATTTCTACATTTATCTAAAGCACAGAACATATATCATCTTAGACTGAAATTAAAACTTGTCAGAAATAATTTTTCTTTATATTGTTTGGAATTAAAAACATATTGAATTGATCCATTAAGAAATTCTCTTCTCTCTATCGCTGTGTTTTTCAGACCGTGTCTGCATCCTTAGGCAATGAAACAATTTTTATAATTGTAATAAAACAACAAAGTGTTGACTTTAAGTTAAGAAAAATGTTGCTTGAATGACTAAATACTTCAGCAAACACAATAAATCTTTCTAAGTTTAACATATAGATAAATCACATGCTTGAACAGGTATGTACATTTCACAATTTTTCATATATAAGTTTGCTTAAACTTATTTCAGTGTTAGTCTTCTGCTCAGTGTTTATAGAGCAGGTCTGCATCTCTAAATTTTAATACTGGTTTAGTCAAAAAGCATCTACCCTTAAGCAGGAAAACTAACCATTTGCCATTAGAAAAACCCAGTTTATAGTACAAAGCACAGCAGTAATGTTATGCTCCAGCAAAAAACACAACTGAAGCGTCTATCCGTATTTCAGTGAAGAGAGGAATGGTAAAAGAGTCAAGTCCATGTGTTTCTTGCTTATTTGTGGACACAGAAGTTTCAGTTTGGCAATGTAAATTGAGCATCATAGATCTCAGTGTTTGCTTTCTCCCAAAGCCAGAAGATACAAGCATCACTGAACTATATTCCCAAGAAGAACATATCAACACATTTTACAGGAAAATCTCTAGAATATTCTTTTTATTTGTTTTCAAAGAGCAGAGAGCGACAGTCTGCCATTTAAAACCAGTTCCAAATAGTATTCAGAACAATTCTTCTCTAAAGCAGAAGAGGGGGCAGCTCCTCCTGAGTTTGCAGCAATATCACATTTGATCAATCTAATTTCAATTTGTTTCAGCAACAGTTAGGTGCAGATTTTTTTAAAAAAATGTTCAAATCTCTAATCTCGCAACTGTAATATATCTTCTAATCTCAAAGACTATTTTAGATTCCCTTTGCCCTCCTTTTGGCTCCTAATGCTACCTACCCTATCCAACATGGAATTATTATTGTCAAGCTTGAGAAAACACAGGGAGACTTCCCCCTCCCAAATACACAGAGAAGGAAAGAACTGACTACTGCTTACCTACCTGCTGCAAGGCTAACTAGCACAGAAGATTACCTTCAGGCAGTAGGTGTCTTATCTTACAGAAGTATGCAAACCAGTCTCACCCCATTGTAGAAGATACAGAGACAGTAAGATGCTAACTCCATAGAGAGGCAGAGTTAAAACTACATGTTAAAAAACGTTGGCAACTATTTTTTTTACACTCAAGTACTGCATTTTATCACTTATTCATCTGTGATAGCCCTAAGTGTTTTTCTGTTTTCAGTTCCCAAATCCATCCTTACTGGTTACACTACTTGTTGGCTACTATTTTAAACAAGGACGTTCAGTCCATTGAGGGAAAAACCGCATGCCAGTATTACTTTTGAGCAATTGGTACACACAAGACTCATTTATACAATAATCTGAAAGATGGTTGACGCAGAGTTGATGCAGCTGATGTAGAAAACAGGCCCTAGAGAAAGTCTTCACCTGCTCAGTATCAGATTAGTTTTTAAATTTTTGCATACTCCCCTATCAACTTACACCTTAAGAACTATTTATTAGTCAGAAACTGTTCAGAACTCTTATAGAAAGATTCTGTTACTAAAGGGCTCATCTTTGTATCAGGTGCAATAGAAAACAATTACGCACGATAAACATTCTGGTTCCTTTTTACTCTATTATTTTAAAACGTATGTTACAAAGATTAAAATAATAAAAGGCCGCCTTAATCCACGTAATGGTACATATCACCTGTCTCTGTCAATGAGACATTTAAAAGCATCTCTTTATTAGAAACACAAATCAATACACTCAGGGGACTGCAATAACTGCTTCAAGCAATTTGTATTATCATTTCATTCCTGATGTTCCTACTCAGAGCAACTTATTACGAATGGCGTGAAAATGGCAACCTGTCACAATTGATTTTTCTAAACCTCTTGCAAGAATTTTTTCCTTTCTTAATATAATTAAGCATCTTCTTACTAAACACAGGTCTAGGTTCGAAGACACTGCCTACAATTGAAGTCTCATTTCTTTATAATTGAGAGCCCTCCCCAACTCACATTAGAAACATTACCAATGAAATGAAGAGCTATTTGCTTTGTTTTGAACTGAAAGAACCTTGTACAGAGGGAAGCACTCAAACTTCTGGTATCTTTTCAACAGACATATCTCTTGACAATTTTTTCATTGCTTATAAAACTCCCTGGAAGAGTGTTGTGGCTATTGACTGGAACCTCAGTTATGTTGTTTTACTGCCTCTGGGAGCCCGAATAAATTTTAGTAGTCTGTTATAAACATTCCTTAAAACTACTGTGTAGCTTTGGCCAAATACTTTACAATAAAATAATCTGAGAGAAGTGGGAATTAATATTCAGCTGTGATAGAGAGGTATAAAAGTCTCAAGATGTGCGTTTATACTTTGAAGACAAATCTTTCCATTAGTACCTGTAACACTCCTAGTTAAAGGAAGAATAATTTTACTTTCAAAATGAGACTGAGGCAGAATTAACTTCTCATACCAAAGCTCAAGTCAGTCCAGTACACACAAAATACATCAGAGTAAAAGCTTGTAGATTTTTTGTTTTAGCTACATCTATTTTTAAGTTTCATGAAAACAAAAGTGGAAAACCCCACAGTAAGGCTAGTTTACCTTATTTTTAGGATTGGATGTGTTCATTACACTTCGAGTTTCTTTGCCTGTGTAAATGACAACACCAATTACAGTTCCTGAAAAACAAAGAAATAAAAAGTAAAACAGAGGTGTCAAGCAGTTAAGAGAAAATTTGTCTGAATTAAAACTTGCAGTAATTTACAGACCCTCAAACAAATCAATTGTATGAAAAAGCCCAAACATTTATGCAATGTACATAGTATTGTGAATGTTGTTTTTCAGAATTGACTACGAAGGATCATTATAACTTCTTCAATTAACATCCACAAAAATGACAACATGCTTTCCTTCTTTTTAATGGAAACAATACTTTCTGTATAACTGGTTAAAAACTTGTATTCGAACTTAAAATTGTCTCTAACTGTTTTCAGACATTAACACACAGCATAAATAACTGCCCTTCACAAGGAACACAAAAACGAGTACAATGGTGCTGAAGGCATCATACAAAAATTGCCTGCTAGCTCTGCCATCTATAATGATGTAAAATCTAGTTCACTCAATTAATTTATTTGATAGATCCCATACAAAAATAATCTCCTGTCCCTTAACTTACTAAAATGATTCCCCAGTTCCAATTATCTTTTAGTCAATTTTACTGGATGGTATAGGAAAACTTGGCTTCAGCATCACTAAATACATTTTTATATATTTTAAAATAAAAATTTAGGTTTTTATTAATATGCCTCTATCACAGTTCCTAGCACAAAACAAAACCCTTATTTCTATTACTTTTTCAAGTGATCTGAAATGGCTTTGTAGCAGTACAAGTGGTAATGTGATAATTTCTGTTGTCTTTATCCTATAAAGAAACAAGTAACATGATTTGTCAGAAATGCCCTGCACAGAAAACTTCAAAAGCTGTAGAAGTATTACACGTTTGTCTGACATTAAGTAACCTAATTTGTCTTTGGCAATCAGGACCACGTGCAAGATCTGTTATCACTATTCTTGCAGTGTTAAAGGTCGTAAAAAATTGAAGGAACACACAAAGAAATAAAGATAGTTAAAGATGTTGGGATTAAAGAAAGGAAGCTTCATTTACTCAAAAATGAGAATGCAAGTGAAAATTCTGAATCCACATACGTAACATCAATGAGTACACATGACATCTTCTGGACAATTAAAAATCACCTTTTCTGTTATTTTCCTCTCCATACTAAAGCTTTTTCTTAAGACTTCCCTTGATGTAACATTTCCCTTAAAGCTAATTTGCCTCTATTGACAGTTCCATACGCAAATCTGCACATTAGTATGTAGGCAACATGCTCCCAACAAACCCCAAAATTCCTTCTAACTTTTGTAAAAGAACAGTCATTGATCCATAATTTCTGAAGTCCTTCTACTGGTCTCCAACCAATGTCAATATCCCTTTGGGGTGCTTTATTTTGGAGTGATCCTCTGAGCTGACCTTTGTCCAATGGTCAGAACACACTGGACAATATCACGTAGGGAATACCCTCCTGCACATCCCAACAATCTCTGCCTTTGTAGCTCTGTAGTTCAGTAAAAGCTGGGAAGCATTTCTCCATTCCAGTTGGCATCTTTCTACTAAGTTTCACCTGGCTAGACTATTGCAGCTCAGGAAAACAAGCTGTCCTACTTGTCTCCTATTTTGCTCCTTGAGAAGTTGTTTTCAAAGGTGGATGTCGGATAAAATCCATTTTGACTACTGAATTTTGATCACAGTTTTGGCTAAACCTGACTGAGCTGCTGCTTTTACTGAGGTGTTGATCTTCGATTTTAAACTTTTGGGGCTGTTAGTTACTAGAACAATACCACTGGTAAATCTAGGGTTCCTTAGACCTGAATTATAAGTGTAG